TGAGAACACAGATATAAATAACAGCCACTGCTAACTATATTTATTTGTGGTATGTTGAGAACTTTGAAGGGGTCAAAGAACTTTTGGATAAGGAGCCCATGAAAGGCAAAACATCAGGAAATGGTTTGCTTTGCATAATAAAAAAAGCTCTCAGACCATCTGGATGTAGAACACATGGGTCAAAGTTACTAAATGTTACTACAGACAGAGCTCTCAGGATGGGTGGGGTTGACGTCAGGTGCCTGTCAAGCAACAGACCAGAGGTGACACTATTTTCTAGGGACACTGTACCTAAGTCCATTAATTTCCTCATTCATCAGGAATTGCTTTGGGCCAAAAAGCTAAAATGGGACAAGCCATGGATTCAGCAATTAATGCCACAAATCGGCTATCCTTCTATGTCTTCAAAATCAGGTCACTGTTTGCTTAATGAATTTGCTGGCTTACTTGTTCTATGGTGCTGAAGAGATTTTTTAACTGTTCATGTTGTCAAAGCGAATAGTTCTGTCTCCACTTAGCAATGAAGATCAGCCCAAAGTCCTGAGCTTCTTGCTGGCACTGCAACTCATCTGCAGCTTTTACATAGTTTTCTACAAGGCACTTACGAGTATCTGCACCAATGCCCCATTTGCTTCTCTTAGTCTGACAAAATCAAATCTTTGGAAAATTCATTTGTTAAGGAATAACTTGGTTCACTTTCCTACATTGCAATTGGTTTCCAAAACTGAAAATGATAGCCTAAAATCCACTCTCGAAAACTGGATTCTAAAAAAGTTCTCTGCTTTCCAACTTTATGAAAATAAACTAGCATTATTTAGCTTACCTTTCTTAATTAATTTTTGATGATACAAATGAAGGGCTATAATTTGAAATTATCAAACTGTAGTACAAAATGGTATTGAAGACTAAATAGGACAACATTGAAAGCCAGGATTGTACACACATCTTGGAGGAAGTAATTATACATACAGGTACCATCTACAATGATTCCATCTCTGGTGAGAAGAGCCTGTTTGTGAGTAACTGTACTTCAAAATTAATATGAAAAAACTTCCTATCACCCCTGGTTTAAGTATGTAAGGCTGCATTCCATACATCACAGTGAAGAAATACAGGGGCCTGAAAGATGTTATGGTACAGAAGAAAAGATGTCAGGTTCTGATTCCAAGTCAAAGCAGTAATGAATTATGAAAGAAAATTATAGTAATAATTGAATGTTTTTTCAACTAGCTAAATAATTTTAATATAAACTAGCAGATAAATATCATATGTATTTGTATTGTTACATACCTACACCATTTGTTTATAGATTTTTTATCTTTTACTAGAGAGTAAGCTGCCTGAGGACTAGGATTTTATTTTATTCATCTTTATATCTGCATAGCTGTAGAATAGAAGTGGGTCCTTAGTAGATGGTTAGTAAAATTAAATTGCCCTTTCAACTGTCATTA